GACAGTCTACTAATACTCTACTAACTGCTAGTTGACATGTAGTTGCAAAGTTACTTACAAAGGCAAACATTCGCGGAGTTTCGCGCTCAAGTTCACAGAGACCGAGACGGCAGAAAGCGCATCCTGTTTGCTTTCATTATTTTACAAAAGCGCAATGTTTTGTTATTGTGAGTGCACACAAATAAACGTAAAGCCTTTACAGCAGTGATCCTCAAATCTGGCCCACGAGATCCACTTTCCTGCAGAGTTTAGCTTAATCAATGTCTTCAGGATCATTAGAAAATCACAGGTAGGTGAGTTTGATCAGGGTTGGAGCTAAACTCTGCAGCGCATTGGCCCTCCAGGGCAAGATTTGAGGAACCCTGCTTTACAGATTCGAAAGCTGTATTACTCTTATCTGTATGAGCAAAAATGAGGAGTATTTTAAGAGCAAATGACCGCATCTGTCCTGCAGTGAGCGCTATTGTTCAGCTTCCACACTCTGCACACACACTTCAATAGCGCACATTTCTCTAGGTTAACATTAGATTGAGCGGACATGTAAAGCTGCTGCTACTTACATATTTCAGATGATAAGCAATATTTGAGGTCGATGAATGATAAGCGAGCGTTTGGATGTCCAGCCCGATGTACTATTACCACATAGACCAGCCGTTAACGATCTCTCCGTCATGGAGTGCGTGACTTCGTGTTATATATATATATATATATTAGGGCTGTCAATCGATTAAAATATTTAATCGCGATTAATCACATGATTACCATGAGTTAACTCGTGATTAATCGCAACTTAATTGCTCATTTTTATCTGTTCTAAATGTACCTTAAATTAATACTTACAGTTTTTAATACTCTAATCAACATGGGCATGGGCAAATATGGATCCTTTATGCAAATGTACGTATGTTTATTATTAGTGAAACCATAGTCAACATAGAGTATGAACACTAGACATGTTTCAAAGGTCATAGATGTTTTTCAAAGAACTTGTTCATGTCTATTAGACACATGAAAAAAGAACATAGAAAAACCAGGTTCCCATTACTTCTCTTTCTTTGCACTGAGCAATATTTACACAAGCCTGTTTACATTTTTGCACGACAGGGCAACTAACTTTTTCTGAACATGCAAAATGTACATTTATTATTTATTATTACATTTGTTTGCCTCTCTGTGCCCATACTGTATTTTTATGCAGCTAAATTCTCAATAAAACTGCTTTCATTGTTATATTTTACTGCTTCTGTTGTCAGACAACGGAATGAATATGAAACGGTGACTGAAACGCGACCCATTAAGACTTCATAACCAGCTCTCCCTTCCAAGATGTTAATCTGCACAAAAATCCTGCAAGTCTCAGAAACTAAATAAGGTTTGTCCAAGGTACTTTTTTGGAAGAAAAAAAAAAAGTCGCTAAAGGGGACTGAAAAGTCACTAAGTGAAGTGAAGTGACATGTGGCCAAGTATGGTTACCCATACTCGGAATTAGTGCTCTGCATTTAACCCATCCTAAGTGCACACACACAGCAGTGAACACACACACCGTGAACACACACCCGGAGCAGTGGGCAGCCATTTATGCTGCGGCGCCCGGGGAGCAGTTAGGGGTTCGGTGCCTTGCTCAAGGGCACCTCAGTCGTGGTATTGAAGGTGGAAGAGAGCGCTGTACATTCACTCCCCCCACCTACAATCCCTGCCGGTATGAGACTCGAACCCGCAACCTTTGGGTTACGAGTCCGACTCTCTAACCATTAGGCCACGACTTCCCCCTAAGTTGGCAACACTGTTCCATTTCTCCAACTACAGGCTAGGCAACGGGTCAAACAGAAAATGTGCACTGCGTTCGCATCGCGCGTTCATAAAATAAAAATTGGTGCCGTTAAAATGAGTTTGCGTTAACGCGTTAATTTTGACAGCCCTAATATATATACAGTTGTGCTCATAAATTTACATGCCCCTTGCACAACATGCACAATGTTAATAATTTTAAAGGGGTCCTATTATGATTTTTCACTTTTTTAATTTTAGTCAGTGTGTAGTGTGTATGTTTGGGCATAAAAAAAGATCTAGAAAGTTACAAATCTCAAAGTCCACTCCAAAGAGAGATATTTCGTTTTTGAAAAATCCCTTTTCAAGAACTACAACGAACGGCTCGTTTGGACTACAGCATTTGTTTCCGGGCTTTGTGCCTACACTCATAGAAAATAATGTATTTGAATTTTAAAGACATAGTGCGACGCGACGCTGCACTTCTCGTCCGGTGTGCGACCGCCTGAAATGCTGTTTTTTTTCACCTCCGTGCCTAAACGTCTTTGTTTGGGCTTCCGAAAGCGGATGATGTCAGGAAACAGTGGTTGCAATTTATTTTTTAACTCTGTTCCTGAGCATTATAACCCCAATTTGCTATTGTGTGCTGCGCATTTTACGGAGGACAGCTTCCACAACATGAGGGAGTACAGCGCCGGATTTGCCCAAAAGCTGCAGTAATGAAACACCGTCTAAGCTGTTCGCCAATCACAACGCACTGGGACAGCTAACCAATCACAACACATTTTGTTTTTCGGAAGGCGGACCTTCATCAAAGCCGGAACTAATCGAGCTGTTTGTGCCAGGCTGGGGAGAAAGGTATTTTAATAATGTAAATTATGTATTATAGACTTACGTTTTACATTTACATGTAGTCATTTAGCAGACGCTTTTATCCAAAGCGACTTACAAATGAGAAATGTTTTAGACACCACATTGCCTGTTTTTGCACTATTTCGACAACAAAAATAATTCCAAACACAGCTACAGCGCGGTTTTGCGTCTCTGAGCAACATGACGGTGTTTCGTTCCTGAATGAATCAACCGTTTAAATGATTCAGTTCACTCGCAATGACTCACTTCTTAACAGTGACTTGCTGCCACCTGCTGGCGGTTTTATTTTCGCATTCAGAGTATCTTTTATTATTTAAATAATTTCAAATATCAGTATTCAACGTTTTATGTTTAATATATCAAAACATTATTGATGCATTTGTAACTGCAGGTTAAATGCATTCATGTCCTGTATAGAATATGAAGAATATCACCGTTTTTTTTTCACCGTGTAATTACCGTTATCTATAAAATCCCAGAAAATAGAGATATTATTTTTTGTCAATATTGCACACTCCAGACCAATCTTTCCTGAACGTGAGACTGTAAGCGCATTCCCTTCTTTTAATTACACAGCGACAGTAACTGTTTCCTCATTAGCGTGTAATTGATGAGGTTTGCAAGAGGGCAGAGCGGCGCGTGTCAACAAACACACAGAAAGACTGATCATTCTCACCGAAATCAAGACATTTACAGCCAAAGCAAAACAAACACTGATTGCATTCGCTCTCATGTAAAGAGTGCTGACAGACGGCAAGTCTGGATCGAATTTAACGTGGTTTACAGCAGAACACGGTTCTCCAAAACCACATCCACATTCCTGACGAGAGCTCGGAGCGTAATTAAAACCAGACGAGGAAACCGCGAAACACACGCCGAACAAACGAAGCATCTGAGAGCTTCTGTGCAGCCGGAGAGAACGAAACCACAGAAAACTTCTGACAAAACACACCGCAAT